TGTTTCACCTTATTGGAATCATCAATTGCTTTACTTTTATTCATTAATTCAGTCCATATTATCAAGGTCTTCAAGCAGTTAAACAAAAATCAACAGTCATGGCAAGAAATACTGATTAATGTTATTTATTTACATTGCATGCAAATAAAAACATTTGAAATTTTACATCAGCCTCAATGTATTCTTATTCTTTGAAGTAATTCAGCCTCAGTTTTCTTTTAAAATGTACATTTTTTTAATTATAGAAAAAAAACAAAAAACGAAAACAAAAAACAACAAAAAAAAAACAACAAAAAGCAATTCCAAATAGAATCAAAATATATTTATATATTTACAGGAATTTCCTGTCTCATTCAAAGTCGATGAACATTACTTCTTGCCCTTCCTACTATGCATATGTAGGCCTAGACAAGTAATACAATACACATTCAGTACAGCACGGTCGACTTTGGCTTAAAAAACTACGGTATGAGAGTCGACAGAAGACGGGAAATGCAATTTACTACCTCTAAAATCTTACAACTATTACCAATGTATTTTATTTAAAGGCTGGTATACTTATATCATATTGAAATATTCCACTAAAACCGGAGAACTTTCGTCCAAATGGCTACACATTGTCACTTTCCTCGCGACATTGTTTGCATTAGTTACCGAGTTTACAAGAACGTTTGTGATTGGCTAATAGCGCCTCATCAATGCTTAACAGGTATGGTAAGTGTGGTGTGTTTGGGTACTGCTTTCGAGAACGACATTATTTTTTCGGAGATAAATTCTCATTTTTGGTTACAGTTTCCCCAAATTTACGATTGCCGACAATTATATTATGTTTCAATAAAATAGTATATTGACATTTTTGTGCGAATGCCTAGTAGCGCGGATCGGTGGGTCACCGAATTTGTAAACTAAGCCGATTTTGGAGCCTCAACCCACGGTCTCGAAGACGACGATCTGAACAAATTTACTGAGTTAATGAATAATTCATGAGGGGTCCCCAAGTTATGTACGGAAAAAAAATAGCGAACGGCACACCTACAGCCTAAGGCGGTGTTTCTTCTCAATTAAGAAGTCATTTTATTATACAACTCTGTAAGGTTTTAATAGAGTAGTGCACAAGCTGTTATTTGGAACTTATATAGGCCTATACCGGTAAGAGATTCTATATTAACTTTTATACAGACAGATTGGTTTCTGGATTCCAGGAACTTAATCCATGAATATGACCGTGGAAGATAGAATAACACAGTAGGACTATTATACTCCTTATATACCGTATTACTTAATTTGTTACTTCAATAGACTTCTCAGTTTGAAAAGTAATACATTCAATTTCATAATATAACAAAATTACAAAAACGGCGATGATAAGGATAGTAAATATAATGATAACACAACTATTGACAATGAAGATAATGTTAAAAATAGTAAAGATAAACACAATAATAACACAAAAGACGATGTTAATGTTAACATGTATATAAATTATGACAACACCTCTATCAGAAAATTGAATTTTCTTAATTTTCTGGAATATACATGGATTTATTGATAAAATTAACGATATTAATATTAGTGTCATATTTACAAAATTTTGATTTCATAAGTTTTTCATGTTATAACTACTAATACAGAAACACCGCAAGGCTGTGTACTCAGTCCATTGTTATACATTTTATATACAAATGATTGTAGGTCAAGTGCAAATAATGTTTACTATCTAAATATGCTGATGATACAGCAATTGTTGGTCTGTTGAATGACAGACACTCTGAAATGCAATATCACGAAGAAGTATATGCTTTCTCTAAGTGGTGCAAAGAAAATAGCCTTATTGTGAACGAAAAGAAAACCCGAGAGATGATATTTGATTTTAGGAAAAATTCATTTCCTCTTGAACCACTCTATCTAAACGGCTCCATGATCGAAACCGTTAACAATTATAAATACCGTGGTGTCATCATTGATGATGAATTATATTGGGTTGAACAAAGTAAAAGTACTATTAGTAAAGGTAACATGCGACTGTTCTTCCTTAAGAAATTCGGTAAATTTGGAGTTGCCAAGTCAATTTTAAACTTATTTTATACTGCTGTTGTTGAAAGTTTCATTGCTTTCTGTTGTGCTGCCTGGTATGGTAAATGTAGAGAAGTAGAAAAAACTTCCATACAACGTATTCTGAAGAAATCCAGTAAAATCACGGGAATAGAATTATTCATTGATGGAAATTTGTCATAAACGTATCAATTCCAAAACCACTAATATTCTTAAGGATGTAAAACACCCGCTGTATAATAACTACTGCAAGTTACGTTCTAAGAGAAACAATCTGTATAGATCCATTAAATGTAGAACTGAGAGATATAACAAATCATTTGTACCTTATTCAATTAGATTATATAATGAATAAATTTAGAATTCAAAATAAATATATAAATTTCATCAGATTTTTTGGAAAGTAGTCACAGTACAGTATAGAAATTTTTATTTAATTTTTAGGAATTTTTGATGTATTTTTTATGCTATATATATCACATTTTATCCCACAGAGCATTAGTGTTGTTTGTGAATCTGGTGTTGTATTTTAATGTCTTATTCTGTAATTTTAATGTATTTTAAAATTTATTATTGTAAATGAAATGTACTCAATATATTTTCCATTTATATGGACGGAATAAAAATTGAATTGAATTCAATTGAAGCAAAGATTATAAATGATTATGAATGTTTTTGGAAACTGAAAAGTAAACGCTCAAATACCGAACGGAACTCCGGAGGTATTCTTCAATTTTAAATCACATTTTTTTGTTGAAGAATTACCTAGTTCATCCGAAAATATTATTTGGCTTCGCATCAAAATCGATTTTAACTATCCAGACCATATAATCGTGGCTATCGTGTACCGCCATCCAACTGGCTCACAATATTCTGTCAATGGCAATTTATTTGAAATATTATCCAACGAATACTCATACTTTAGCTCATATTTTAAGAAAGATAAAATCATCGTAATGGGTGGTTTTAATGGTAGAACAGGGAATGAAAATGATTATATTACTAACGATGAGTGCCCGACTGACTGGGACACACAGGTGTATAATGTAGACATAGAATTACCGTGTAGAATTAATGAAGATAAAGTGGTAAATGGATATGGTAAAGAATTATTAAATTTTTGTAAAGAAACTAAGTTAAGAATTGTTAATGGCAGGATATGCAGAGAATTATCCAAAGCATTCACATTCATAAATTATCAGGGAAAAAGTGTAGTGGATTATATATTGACGAATGTAAATTATTTTAATATTATTACATTTATGAATATTGAGAACAGGGTTGTATCTGAGCATATGCCAATAAATTTTGTAATTGAATTTGTAAAGGCTGGAAATAGCGAATACTGCCTACCTGAGGCTGCTACAGCATTACTTGATTCTCCTTCAATGTCTTTGGCATGTTGCTCAGATAGCTCTAGCCTCCTCGATTAGTTTTGTGAGCGTCAGCGTTGTATCCTTTAGAGCTTTGCGTCGGAGTCGCTGAGAAGCACAGTTCTGAATTATTTGATTCTTCACCTCCGCATCTGCGTCTGCAAAATTGCAATGTTGGGCAGCTTGTCTCAACCGAGTGACAAATGCATCCATTTTCTCGTCCCGGCTTTGTTTCAATTGTCGGAATGTATATATGGCATATGCAATAATTTTTCTGGGCTCGAAGTACTTTTTAAACTTCCCCTTGGTGGTCGTAAATGTGTCGCCAGTGTCGTTGATTGTCGTGAAAACATTGTAGACGCAGTCCCCAGCATAATGCAGAAGTAACGCTCGCTGGCGCTTTTTGTCTGTGACGTTCATTGCCACAAACAAGATTTCGAGCTTCTCGATCCACTTCTCCCATCTTTGGGCAAGCACCCCATCAGCGTGTAAATCAAAAGTCGGAAAGGAAGGTAAGATCTCCATGCTTTAACCATAATTTCCAACACGTATTCCGAATCGTCAAAGTGAATTAAATTAAATCTTCGTCGCCAGTGTGATGGTTCAACATCAAGGTATAAATAATGCACAAACAACTGTAGCTGTAGGTGGGTACTATGTTTATTGTAACAACACAACGTAACAAGAAGTGATACACAGTAATGAGAGGTATGAGAAGAAGAGCTAGATATAAAATGAGAGACACTTTTGTACTGCCATATGGTATGAATTTTACCTCTTTAACTAGGTTTTTCTTTACTTTGTTTAAGCATCTATGTAAAAATGGTTTCACATGCCTTTCCTAACCCAACTCTTAATCAAGCTATCATCAGTAGGCCTATGTATACACTTAAGTTCATTTAATTTGAGTACATGGTTAACAACTTTTAAAGGGTACCCATTCCATGACGTAAATTTTATAATGTTACAAAGTTCTGCTTGTAGCTTATCGGGAGTACAGTTTGTGGGCTCTTGAAACTAAACTACAAATCTATGGTTCCATGGGGCAAAGCTATTATAATGGATATATTGACCTGTATGTGTATATTTACGATATGCTTCCTACAACAAATTACTGTATGCAATTGTATTTGCAACTAGGTTATCTAAAAGCCTCATAGGCTATACAGTACTTGGAGTTGTACTAAAATAAAAAATACATCAGTATCAATTCAAACCTAATAACGAATACAGTATATATTTCGTAACATTAAATAGTGACAATTACACAGTATATATTACAATATGTGAAGATGGGGTGCCAGGAAGGCCAGACTCATGACGATGGGAGCACCCAGAAAAGGAATTACAGAAACTCTCAATGTCTTTCTTCTGCATATAGTAAGTTTCTTTAGTCGTTTCTTTTTTTTTTTCAATTTGAATTCTAGAGTATGGTATGTACCTGTGTATGTGTAGCCGCCAGTGTGTTCCATGCCTGACGATCCTTTATTTTTTTATATATGAATAATGAATTAATAAGAATTAATACAAAACATATAAGAATAATAGTAAGTTGAGATTGCTTCGGCCTTCAAGCTGTACTAATACTCTGTTGACATAGCGTAGGCGCTAGGGAGAGAGAGGGAGCAGGCCAAAGCTAGATATAGTATATGTAATATATGGCCTATGCTAGGTCCCATTTATTTGTCCTGTTTACTGTAATTTAATGTAAGCTTGCTTATAATTTATTACAGCATGAGGAGGAATTATCACCCCACACACAGTGAATCCCAACTTCGCTCACCGCGACGTGAAAAAGCTACAGCGATCACTCCAGCGAAACGAGATTGCGCATGCGCTAGTAATGCATTCAGCCACTCCAAATGAATAATTCATTATTCTTTGCTTAACTTACCTACGATAACAAAAATTCGCTTACCGCATTCCGCATCATTGTGTTGCATCCGTGTTTTGTTTTTGTTTACATATACAAATCAGTTAAAAACATTATTTATACTTTGTTATTTATGAGCACGCTTGCTGCAAGTGCCACACGATAAATGGTATTTCATGTCTATTTTTTATTTGGCGTATAATTTTTTAGCATTTCCCTCTTTCACAAAATCCTCCTTTTTTCAAAAATGGAATCCGATGTAAATAATATAAAAGTCTATTTCAATTGCATTGAATTGAAGTTGTTCTTACGAGTTTGTCTAGCTATCTATAATAAATGTCAATGTCAGGTTGCCTAGAAACAGACAGACATTCTAAGGACAGACTGTATATGTATAAAGGTTAACGTTTTCATCGTCATTTACCGTATTATTTAATCAATATGACAAAGTAGATACATAGTTTCTATTGTTATAGTAAATGAGCATAGTATAATGTATTCTAAACGTTGAGATACAGAAAATATAATCCGTATAAAGTTACTGATCAGTTTTGAAATTGTGATTTATGATTAACGTTAAATGGTTGTCTGATTGACGGGTAGGTGCATACGTCAGCTGCATCCAATAGGTTTTCCGGTGTATCTAACAAATCAGTGGAAGCAGCTGTAAATCGGTGATATTGTGGTTTTTTTCCCTAGTCTATCAAGAGGTTTGTCCGGTAGCGTTTCATTCACACCTAAAAAAAAAGGTTGAAAAGTTTTTATTTCAATAAACGCACCAAAAATTGAATAGTATAAGGTAAAAAAAAACAACTTATTATATTTCCCAAGAATAGTGACAACAGGTTTGTCAAGAGACATATTTATATTATTTTGTTCTGATTGAACCTTTTTCTCAAATTTTACAACATAAAATGTATATATACATGTAATATATGCAAATAACTGTAAACGGTAGGGAAAAGGAATCTGTGAGTATAGCTAAAAACTTACCAACCGACCCAAGAACATCAAGCAAGTATCAAGCGAGTGCAAAAGCCTCAATGGCTCAGTGGGTATAGAGAGCAAAATATTCCGGGTTCTAATCCCGGTTGGGGGAATTTTTAATATTCACATATTCCTCTTCTATACCATCTAATTTCTTCCTATACATATACATATATGAGTAGACTTTACAAGAATTATGATTTTCCACTGGAGTCTGTTTGGCTAAATTCGCTGCTAGTCTATTTTCTACAGCTCTGATTCGTGGGCCTCTGGCATCAGTAGAAGATGCCGGGTCAAGTTCGCCAGAGTCTATGGAGTAATAATCAGGTTCATCTCCGTTTGCAGCAAATGCTATCGTCATTTCGAGGTTAGCATCTACAACAGATATTTCATCCGAAGCCTGGTAAAAAATTTCATAAAAAAAATATTAACTAGCAATATACTTTTGTATAATAATAAATATATATAGAATAAATTTAAATGATGTTTGAATTGATATAAAAGTGAAGGAACACTATTTTAAAATAAATTCGAAGCTTTTGCTGGTCTAAGAAGCCTACCGTGAGAACTTTATGATTATTTTAATTTTTTTTAAGCATGCCTAATTGGATAAAAATTAGTCACTATATTTTGTCACGCACATCTTTATATTATGCAAATTAGCTTAAATATTAGGGGTGAAAATGTAAAGTTTCCTATTCTTGGCAACCACTTGTCTTATTAAAGCTGTTTAGAACATGCATCTTTCTATTCTATATCTACTTTCATCGAAATATCATTAAATGTTGATCTTTAGCATAAGAATGTATATGAAGTGTAAACATTTGTTATAAGGTTCCTATAAATTGCCAACCACTGGTAGTATGGAGTTGCTTTTTTATTTTTATTTTTTGCCTGGAATCTATAGATTGAAGTATGCGGAGTCCTATCTTTGTCACCAATTCATTTTTATCAAATTAGGGGTAAAATATTGGGCTCCCATATCTTAGCAGACGTTGTCTTTATAGACTTGAATCGTATTTTAAAGCTTATTTACAATAAATGGTTACAATTTACAAACAACACTAAAAGCCTAGAACTGAGAAAACCAGGATGAATGTAAGTACAGGTACAATGAAAGTTACATTTTCACCAATAGAGGCCAGCAACTATGTATTTTTTTTTTAATAAGTGTAATCAAATATAATAAATAGCAGAAGATAGAGCAGCTTCCCAATATAGTGGAACATCCGTTCGAAAGGTATTGAGGGTACACGGAGAGCAATTTTACCACGTCCGCGCAGCGGCGCTATATAGTAATGATAAAGGCACCACTCTGGTTCGTTTGTTTCCTGTAGTTTCTCCACTTAGTAAAATATTCAAATTTTAACCCAATCGCGGGAGGGCCGATGTTCCATCAATTTTAATGCAAATACTCGGAACAGCTCATTCTTCTGCTATTTAAGTTCTTTGGTGTAATTGAAAAAAGTAATTAATGTAGATTGTCTTTCGAATAATACCACATATTCCCATGTTTGACTAAATGCGTCCGCTATCTTTCTTTTTTTTACCAAGAGCGGCTACTTAACCTCCGCGAAAAAATTGGCAGCAATGTTTTTTTTGTTCAGTATAAAATTTCGAGTCGGAAAAACGCAGTTGCAATAAGTTAACATGAATTTCGAACACAAAATAAGGGTAACTCCGACCTGCACTTACTGAGATACGACCCCCAAAATGTTCGTTGATACTTCCTGCTGCTCTATGTCTGGGTGAACCATTCACATTACTTTCCATATTTGTAACAATTTCATTGTACATGTATTTTAGGTCTGCATCACTTCCAAAATGTCCTGCAAGATAATAACTAAAGTAATGTCAAAACCGAAAGATCTGGCCTCACACATGCCGGAATGACAATCTCTTTGCTATGGCGTTTGGTCTAGATTGTGCAAGGCTGCGGGGTCTGCCACTATTCCCACCCAGCAAGTCTGTTTTACCTTTCCAGCATAGGTACTGTATACTCCTTGGATACAGCGACAAAGTATCTTGCCCAAGGACACAAACGACTTGCACAACGAGGGTTCCCAACCTCAAGATTGAAGGTCCGAGCCAAACAACTAATAATTGTTCATTCCATTTTTAAAGAGCATAGGCGTCGATCGGTGGGGGACACGTCCCTCCTACTAGTCAAAGTAGGCGGACATCATATCAATTCTCCCAAGCGAGTGGAATGAAAGACAATTAAAAATTACGAATGTCAATTAACAATTACGAATGTCATGAGTTTTGTCTGTTCACTGTGCTCTGTTTCAAGTGTGGTGGGTATTTCCGGAACAAAACCGAGCAAATACGAACGTTGCTTTCTATGATGAGTATTTCAGTGGCGGATTCAAGAGGAGCCCCCGGCCGACCCTTCCTAAATTATTAACAATTTTAAGTAGAGAAAAAAAGAAATTAAATTTAAATTTATGCCTGAGAGTGCCATTTCCGGCGAACTAGAGGTGCAATAATTAAAATTTTTTTTTTACCTCAGCCCCCAACCATGGCGGGGCTGAGGTGCTCTACACTTCATCAGTAAAAGTCCCACCATGGACCTCTCTGTTTCGAATTCTTTAAATGTAGTGTAGAAATAAATGTAAATTGCATTCCTTAAAATCAATTAGATACGACTTACAAAAGTCGTGGCCACCTGTCCCCCTACGGGCCAAGACTGTCCTTATTTGCAATTTGTCCACCCACCCTTTATTCTAGAAGGGTGGTTGATATATTTTAGGGGTTTCTACCTCCTATCTACTTATAACAGCCAAATACCGAATAAAATACCATTTGCTGCTGGTTTTGACTGATCATTTTTCACGTCGGCCACATTAACAGTAACAACTACTTGTCCATCTTTAGGATTCTCAACATCAGTCTCGTCTCTCACTCTCACAGCAAACAACTTTGACGTTGAAGGTTTATCAAAGTTATAACCTATTGCAAAATTAATAAAATACTATAATTATGAAGATTCATACGCTGCGGTTTATGCGGTTTAATCAAAATCTTCGTTTTGTGTAATATGATTAAACGGATAAATAAAAGTTAAACATTCTTCGCAGAAATCATTATCTACTGGCCTATCCTGGTCTGATGACTTAGCACAGTGGATATGTCAGTTTAAGTATTGGATGACTTTAATAATATCAGAACAAACATTACATTTCATTATACATATCAATAAATTCAGAAAAGTATAATTACAGTATCACAATGAAATCAGTAAAAAAGAAAAAAAATATATAAAATAGTTTAAGATTTAGCACAGTTGATATGTCTTATTTTCTTACAGTTACAGCAGTTTAAGTATCAGTTGCTTTTTATAATTTTAAAACAATCATAACATTTCATTATAGGCCTACATATCAATAAATACAGAAAACTATAAATACAGTATCACAATAAAATCAGTAAAAAAGAAAAAAATATATAAAATAGTTTAAGACTTAGATTTTAAAAAATATATATATATATGCACAGCCTACCAAAACCTTTCTTCATAATTTCACATGATTACAGGAGTCTTTGAGTTACAGCAGTTACTGCTTAAATATCTATCACTTGCTTCTACTAAAATTAAGAATTAATTACTAAAATTAAGAATTAACTGCTAAAATTAAGAATTAACTACTAAAATTAAGAATATTGTCAAAAAGGTTTTTAATTGATTTATAACAGGGGTGTGAAATGTACATAGTGCACTACAAAAACACGCACATTGACGGTAATTATTTAAATATATGATTCAATATCATTGTGGTAAAAAATAATGAATGTAAATAATATATAGGCAACAGATATTTTTTTTAAAGTGGTCCAGACGAGGCAGGTGCAGCCGGCGAGATTCCGACGGCTCTGCCTCCTCCTGCTAGGGCAACCACTAGCAGCTGTCCTTCCGCAACAACAATTTATCAACAGCACTTTCATCCGCAAAATTTGCGCTAGGTGGCTTACGACCGCCTTCCTGGTGGTACTTGTATGGATGGCGACCACTTTCCAGACAACTGTTTTCTATGGAGCAACCTTCCCAACTGGACAAGGGATATCCAGCAACATTCCTCATCCAGAGTTGGATGAAGGAAGGTATATACCTTTTTTTATTGGGGCCATCCTGAATGGGCCTTTAATACACCAAAAAGAAAATGGAAGGGTACGGGAAAAAACCTTTAGTACCCACTGAACCCTTAAAAGCTCATTAAGAAACACAGAGAGGAGCACCCAAGGACCTTGAGATTGTAAATGTATCTTTACCACTACACTACAGATCCACTCTGTGAATCATCAACATCTTTGTGTATCGGGTATTAAATGCGATATACAAATCATAAGCACACACTCGATATACAAATCATAAGCACACATTCAATACACCAAAACACAGAAACAGCACAGAACTTTCTAAGTTCATATGGAAACTAAAAGACAGCAAAACACAATACAATATCAAATGGTCCATTAATGATAGAGCCTCATCCTACTCACCCAAAACAAAGCAATGCAATCTATGCAAAAAAAAAAAAAAAAAAAAAAAAGTTTCATATAATTTATGCAGACAAATGTGCGTGGTTAGTTTGAACCAGATCATGAAGACGAAAGTGCTCAATACACACGTAGAGCAATATAAATAAGTAATCAAAGACACTAGGTTACAAAGTCAACATTTTATTTTGCACCAAAAAAGTAATAGAAGCAGATTCAGCAAAGGAGTTAAAACCAACATCGGAAAATCATTCCTTAACCTAGTAAAGAAACATTTTCCGAGTGGTAACATTTTGCACAAACTGTTCAACAAGAACAATGTTAAAGTCAGCTATAGCTGCTCAAGAAACATGGGCAGTATAATCAGAGCCCACAACAAACAGCTTCTGGTTGCTAAGCAACAAGAGCCAGATAAAATCTGCAATTGCAGGAAAAAAGATGAATGTCCACTCTCTGGAAATTGCCTCACCTCATCCATCATCTACAAAGCCACTGTCCACTCAAATGATGACACAAAATGCTACATCGGGCTCACCGACACACC